ATGAGCACATCTCTCTACACCCACCGTCCGATCACCCCACCCCCCTCTCCCCATACCTGCGACCTCCCGTCCCCAGAGAGACCCCCTCTCCCCCCTGCCACCGCAGCCCTGTGTAGAAAAGAGCCTCTGGCACCCCACCCCCCTGCCCCGCCCCGCCCAGGCCAAAAGAATCAACCCTGCCCCTCTCACCAACAGCATCCTCCCCCATATAGTCCATAAGAGAAAAGGAACATCATTAGTCCAGAAAAAGAAAAAAAATGTTTTTGATCAATTCGAAACCAGTCAAAGTGGGTGTGTTTTTTTTTGTAAATACTTCCTATTTGTTTTATATGAGACGATGAAAAGTATTGCGGTGTGCCATTTTATAAGTTTCTCTCTCTGTATTCTTATCTTTTAGTGGATGTACCTGTTTCCTCTCTCTCTCTCTCTCTCTCTCTCTCTCTCTCTCTCTCTCTCTCTCTCTCTCTCTCTCTCTCTCTCTCTCTCTCTCTCTCTCTCTCTCTCTCTCTCTCTCAGATCTGCTACAGTTTCTCTTGTACCAGGCTTTGGTGTTTGTGAGTTTGCTGGCTAGCTGACATTTGCAACGTCTTCTCTAAACCCAATGATCATGTTAGTGTCTCTATGTCCATGTGGAGAGAGTAAAAGCCGCCACAGTACAGTACAGAACAGTACACACAGCTCTAAACGGTCACTAACATAGCATTTACAAGAATCTCTTGCTCTTTCTTTATACATCCATCTGGTATGTAGTCACAAAACAGACAGACACACACACACACACACACTTATATGGACCCGGTCAGCATGATTTAGTAAAAAATGACATGTTGCTCAAGAGGAGCTGCGGTTTGAGCCACGCCGAAATCATGCGACGTCTCTTGACCCTAGTTTGACCATAGTCTGGGTTGCATTTATACTGACAGCATAACATCAAGTTAACCTTGATTTCTTGATAATCACGTGTACTGAAGTTCTCCCATTCTAATTCTTGAAAGATTTTCAGGTTGATATCTGGTAATAAAATGGACATTGCAAGATGATGATGTGTGTAAGTGTGTGTGTGTGTGTCAAGAGCAGTGTGGGTAGACGGTGTTATAATGTGCCATAGCTATTGCTTTAATGTCACAAACCTGCCCAGTGCCCACCCTCATATTTCTCTTCCAGCTGTGTGTTTTATTCCCTTCACATGTAACTTTGGGAGCAAGCTGTGGTGAATAAAGGCTTGGGTTTCTTGGAATGACAATATCTGTCTTTGGGTCTGTTTTTATTTCATACAACATACATTAACATAAATACAAAATTCGATTTCAAATTTAACAACTATGTTGTAGGCAGGGCACAAAAAACGTGATTAACGTAATGCGAGAAATAACAATGTGTAATACCCTAGTTTTCCAACAGGTGGCGATAAATGACGTAGCAAGAAAACATGCTTTAACTCGCAATAGCATACCATAATTTTTTATGCAAAAAACTTCCCGTATATTATCCACTAAATTTGCTTTCAAAATGTGCAGTATGCAATATAGTTTGTTTTATTATGCATCTTAAGTGCAGTACGTGTGTTCGACTTGACCTTCCACTTGATAAAGCAGGATGAACTGAAAGAGGTAGGCTAATTAGTAATAGCCTAATATAGCCTATCAGTCGCTAATTTTAAAATGTTACTTTCCTCATTATTTGATCAGGTTGCCAAATGTTGATATTTTACCCCAAACGTGAATAAACATTAAAAACAAGTGATGGGCTCACGTGACAAAATTTGTAACGTGGCATTGTTGTCGCATCCCAGCTAACATGGAAAGTTCTACTTCTGGCAAGGTTCTCTCAACGTTCTCTCTCCAGTAACATTAGAACATTTGTTTAAAATTATCTGGTCTTTAATAATGTTCTAAAAAAAAACACACAAAATTTAATTTAATATCATTCATGGAATGTTTTTTTCTCCCCTGAAACGTTTTAGTTTTCATAACTTATTGTGAACGTTAGCTAAACGTCAGAACATGTTTTTGTTAGCAGGGATACTACTTTAAACATTTATCATCGAATAATTACTTATTTATATATAACATACAAAAAGGTATACAGTAAAGTTAGTATTCCATTTCCATTTAGTATTTCCGTTTTGCATACTACACAGCACAGCGTACAGTACTGCCTAATATTTCTTAAAACATAGTTTATGAATAAGTATTCATCTTGCTCATCTTGGACACAATCATTTTGCAACCATTTTTTTTTGCAAACTACAAACTGTACTGTTGGTAATTCAATCAAATAATGAGTCGGGAATGTAAAGTAGCAAGATAAAAATAACTACAAATTATTTCTGGTCCATTCATCAAGCATTTCGTGGTTTGGGATACACAGTATGCTCTGCTGTATACAGCATTTTTCGGGCAAATCATAGGTCATCCAGGTGTTTTATGGATGTAGACAATTTGCATTCTGCATAAATAGTATGGGTGGTATGCTATTCCCAGCCTAGCCATTACTGCTATAGTATCTACTTAATATGCCAGTTTTCGGGAATCCAACCATCACCTCCAGGGGGAATGAGGGGAAAAAACATGTGATAAAGCCTCTGAAAATACATTTAAAGGCAGCTGGAGAAATAAAGAAGTGTGTTGGCAGTGTGCTGTGTGTAGGTGGGAATCTGTTTTACGGGTTTGGCTGGCAGTATAGTACCCGTGGTGGCGTGGGAGTGCTCCACACCAGGAGCTCAGTGAGCTGCTGTGATTGCTTTGGGACAAAGCTGCACTGTGCGGCCCTCTCCTCCTACTTCTCCTTCTCTCTTGTTCCCTCTCTTCTCGTTCTGTACCTCTCTCTTTCCTCCCTGTGCAGTCCAGGCCAGCCAGGCTGCCATTGTCCAGGATATCCCTTGGCTGTTAATGGCTTCCTGGATACATAGAGAGGCCACAGAGAGGCCCCTGGGCCGTGTTTGATATCAGTTCAAAACGCACGCATACAGGCACTGGTTCAACCCTATAGAAATCTGCAGCGCCATGAAAGGAACTATTCTTCCCCAAAGCATTAAATCACATGTAAGGCCTATTTATTTATATCCACCTGTGTGAGAGAGGGGTGACTGGAACATTTCAAGCACGCCAACAAATCTGGACGATAAACATGTATGAATGCAGTTTACTGTGACTGTTTAATGTTTTTATCACACTGCGAGATTTGTCCTAAAAGACGTTTCGATGTAGATGTCAGTAAAAATGGTCATTTTGTTACAAAAATATGTCATTATTATTTTGATTAGGAATGCACCCATTTAAAATTTCCGACTGATATCAATAAGTTGATAATTATTCGAATTTTATGGCCAGTAATTAAAGTTATATTATAATTATATTAATAAAATGTATCTAAATAAATGTAAATAAAAAAAAACAATCAGTTTAAATGTTAAAACTGAATTTAGGCATCATAACATTAAAATGTACAGTATGAAAAATGAATAGTTGATCAGTATTTTCCTATTATGGCCAATATTTAAATGATATAATATTATAATTATATTCATTTTAAAATGTATCCAAATAAATATAACATTGATTGAAAATAATACACACAAACCAATCAATTTAAATGCTAAAACTGAATTTAGGCATCATAACATTATAATGTAGCCTACTTTTTGCAAAATAGATAGCTTATAATTATTGGCATGTTATGGCAATATTTAAATTATATCATATATATATATTATATTAATTATAAAATGTTTCTAAATAAATCTAAAATAATTTAAAAATAAAACAAAAAATTAAAACAATTACATTTAGCCATGATAGCTTTATAATGTACAGTATGAAAAATAAATATTAATTTTAAAGGTTTGTTGAAAATTACTTTTAGCGTTTTTTATTACATTAGTGTTTTAAAGATTCATTTTAATTAAGAGTTAGATGAAGGCATAAGGTAATATAAATGTAAAAAATAGAAGAAATGAGCATGCAAAACCAAAAATCTCTAATATGCTCTTATGGTACCAATTAATATATTGTGCATTCGCAGTATTTAATGTGTCTATGACAATATAAAAAATCATAACATGAGCACACAAATCCAGGGTTATTAGCTACATGTATCATTTTATTACAGGAAAGTCACACAGGTTAGTGAGGGACAGGCATCTCTTCCAGTACTATCTATTCCCCTAATCTTATCTGATTTGCCAGTGCAAATTCCCTATTACCATAAAAAAACGATCTGGTTTTCCAAATTACAGTTAACTAAGAGAGAGAGAGAGAGAGAGAGAGAGAGAGAGAGAGAGAGGAGAGAGAGAGAGAGAGAGAGAGAGAGAGAGAGAGAGAGAGAGAGAGAGAGAGAGAGAGAGAGAGAGAGAGAGAGAGAGAGAGAGAGAGAGAGAGAGAAGAGAGAGAGAGAGAGAGAGAGAGAGAGAGAGAGGAGAGAGAGAGAGAGAGAGAGAGAGAGAGATGATTTGGGGCATGAAGGGGTGAACATGCCTGTAAGCGCTCAATTCTGCTATTAACAAACCTAACAGTGCCTTTGCTACAATTACATTAGTGCAGTTCTGAGAGATTGTCTATTTAGATTGTCTCCGTAAAGGTGTACCAGTGGTCCATCCCTGCAAACAACAAATTCATTACATTTTAAACAAATAAACACACACTGCAGGTCGCTGACCAAAAAGACTTAAATCTTTATAAAAAAAAAGAACGTATACTCAGCTGAGGAATACAGGTTCAGTTGCATAGGTTTTGTATATGTGCAGATGGAAAGTTGGAAAACCTCAACTTCATTGCATATTATTTTCTAAAATCAAAGAAATGCTGAACAATTTTCCCCAAAGAAAATCTAATTTGAAAGATCATTCTCTGAAAAATCCTGCCTTTTACTCTGGAGGAGAAGATGCAAGTATATCACATCATGTTATCAAATCGTTCCTTTATTATCTTTATACAATTAAATCTGTTTTGAGTTAAACTCCATTAACAGCCAACATCTCTCTCTCTCTCTCTCTCTCTCTCTCTCGCTCTCTCTAGCATGCACTTCTCCACATCTGAACTGATGTGCGAGAACCCGATCATCTCTAGATCTTATTTCTGCTCGACCTGAGACGGGACAATTTCAAAAGACAGGGTCATTCGAGTAAGTACATCGGTCCTGTATTCGCTCTTTCCCTTTGTACAGAGAGGAATTCTGCGGTTGTGTCCATCTCTTTGAAATAGTCAGATGTTACAGAAAAAAGTCATTTCTAACTGACTGTCTGTCCACAGCGTTCATGTTTTTGCAGAGTTCAGAAGGCTCCTATTTCCATGCTCCAGGGCCTATAGGGCTTCCCCAGGCTGCTGGAGGGAGTCGCGGGGCCCAGCGAACTCGGGGACAGCAGAGGAAATGCGCTCAGCGGGAAGGGAAATGCTGACAGGCTTGAAAGTGACGTCAGGAGGGGCGGAGAAAGCTTGGATGTAGTCGGTGGTGTGAGGCCAGGGGGCAGGGAGGTACCGGGCGGCACCCTCAGCGGTCCCGTCTGCCCTGCCTCGCTAATCCCCGGCCCGGTCAGCCTGCTGGGGGCGTGAGGCTCTGTGGAGGCAGCGGATGAAGATGAGGAGGAGGAGGGCGATGACGAATTCGAGGATGGAGGGCTGCTGGTGCTGCGTGGGAGTGGCGCCCCCTGCTGTTGTTGCAGGAGGAGGTGGTGGGCCAGGTGGCCGGGCGGCGTCCCGAATGCGGAGCCCCACGCCAAGTGGCCCAAACCCGAATGAGCTTCTCTCTGGGAGGCGTAACTGTTCAGGTGTGAAACCAGGCGGATGCGGAGGGGGTCGGTGTTGTCCAGGCCCTCGATGATACTGAGGTAACGCGCCGTCTCTGCCAGACACTCGCGGAAACCCAGCCCGCGGTAATCCATGGCCAGCGCGTGAGCATCAAAGTAACCTGTGTGAGAGTGAACGAGAGCTGGTGAGTGATCTAATCTGATAATGATTACATTTCATGACAGGAAACACTGTGCAGTTAATAGACCACACTGGGAGGGGCTGAGAGTGAAACCGAAATGACACTAGATAAACAACCGAGATTAAAAGACTCTTTACACATCTAGTTTGTCCTGTTTCAGTCTGGGTTAGTAATTATTTTCAGGGAATTTCTTTGAGCAGATTCCCAAACATTGGATGATCTCATAATGAAGGATTACACACAACATTAAACCTGGCAATATTTTTTGGTAAGACTTTATAAAAACTTTCATTATTACTAAATCGTTTGAAAATATCATAACGCATAAAAGAGCAATGGTTAATGTTAAAGACGCGGTCAAACATTTTGTTATAACAAGCATTATATTTGTAATTTAAATACACTGTAAAAATTATATAATTAATAAGTTGTGACAACATATGTTTTTACACTGCTTTAACTCATCAAAATAAGTTAAGCAATTTTCAACCTTTTTTTAAGTTATACAAGATTCTACACATTTTTTTAAAAGTCAGTTTAATGTAATTTAATTTGAAATAACTTAAACATTCAAGTTGATTGTACTTCAAAATTTAAGGCAGCAACTTTCAAGTGTATTTTCTTTCAAATAAATGCTAGTGCGAAAAAACCTTACCTTTTCCTCCAGCTGCATGAAGCATCTTTAAATGATCTACCGTCATCTGCAAAATTTCTGCTTTTTCTAGTTTAGCAGAGCCCTGAGAACAAGAACAGATGTGTTGATGAGTTAAGTGATAAGATTATAAATGTATACTGTATGGCTCAATGACAAATAAGACTGTCTGAGATGATAAAGAGGAAATACTTTTTTTTTTTTTATCGATTTTAAAACACATGTGCCAAGTTCTTGTTTTGGTTTCATTCTGGGAAAATGTATACCTTTTCACAAAAAGCCCCAAAATTGGGATATATATTAATATATATATAAAAAATTGAATGACTTTGATAGACAAATCTTAAGGATCTCGATGAGTCCTCTTCGTTTTTAAGGTTTTCTTGTGCCATGACAACAAAAGTTGCATCCTGCATGTTGGTTATGCCACTCTGAAGTTTATATGAAATATTAATAATAATATTTAAAAACAAAATCTTTTTAATAAAATATTAATACAGGACTAAACCACTCTTGTCAACATTTCAGGACTTTTTCACGAATTGAATCCCGTAAAGAGACTTATGTATAAAATCTAGACAGTTTACACTAGACATTTGATTGCAGTGGCCTGACTCTGAGATGTGAGTCAGGTGTTGATTGACACTCACCTGTTTCTCAAACGCGCTGGGCACCAGTCTGCGCAGCTCAGACAGACTGTTATTTATCCGGTCCCTACGGCGCTTCTCTATGATCTGTCCAAACAGAGTGTCAAATCATCATTATTAACAGCCATTTGAGGACATTAAAGTCATTTATTAAGCTTTGCAGATTCAGTTTTCAGGACTTTTCAAAGAAAAACGCTCTTACCCCTCTGCGACGTTTCCTCGCTTGCACTTGAGAGGTTGTGGATGGTGACATTGATCCGAGTGGAGAATTCACACCGCTTTAAAAAAAAAAATATGCATAAGAACACGAACACAATACATTTTATTTTTATCATGAAATATGATCCTGACCAACATCTAAAGGAAAAGATTTTCTAGCTAATATTCCACATAGGCTAATTCTGTTGACAGACATGTGATTTAGAATTATTAATCTTAATTTTGTGTGCGATTCAAATTCAATGTGCGCACATTGAGTCGTATGGTTGTTTTCTTCATTTGGTCGCAAGTTAAACGTTTCATTAGCCTACTAACTCAAAAATAAGCAAGACGACTCAAATAAATCATAGCTAACTTACGCATTTTCGTCAGCACTCTCCTTCTCCACTTCGATATTCTCATCGAGCTCACTATCCGAGGAGCTGAAATCGTGATTTCTCTTCATTTTTCGATAGTATTTCAGAGCGTATCCTCAGCGTGTGTCAGGTGAGACTGAAGTTCATCCGTATGAACCGACAAGCTTTCCCACGGTATCATTTCAACTCCGCAGCTCGCCAAGACAGGCGTGGCTGAGCTCGTGGATAGCCAATCAGCGAACAAGTGTGGGGTTGAGTGGCATGTCGGTTGTCAACGTCCCAGTGTAGCCCCACCCCTATTTTCGAATACGCTTAACAAAGGGCCAATAGAATGTTCGTCCGTGAGAGCGGAGCTCCGCCCCCGGGTTCCGCCGGTGCTTGTGTTGTCTAGCCCAGCTGAAAGGAGTGGCTGGCCGGCTGTCAGCACGCGCAAGCCGTGGGAAAGTTTCTTAGCAGAACGCTGATAACCAATCAGGGGCGACGGCCGTCTCCGGCGCTGGAATGAATGGGGCAATTGGTTGGGGCGACGGGCGGTCTGCGAGTGAGCGTGTGAACCTGTAATCTAATACTAACTCATCCGAAGGAGTGCAGTGTGTACGAGGAAGCTACCAAGTCTAAATGTAGGCTACTCGATGAGCCTCAAACATGTACCTTCTTTGACGGCATTCCCAAAGGTGCACTGCAATTAAAACAGACCATGCACAACAAGTAGGCTACACAGCAATAACCCGAGGGGTTTCCACTGGCAATTAGCTTGTGCATATTATATTATTCTAATATTTTAATGTAATAATAATTATATATACTGATATACTTTGCCTAGCATTTTGACAGCATTTTGTACTTAAAACATATTAGCATAAAATACACATAAAATAAATAAAATTTACAATATAAATTAATAAAAATACAAGAATTCAAATAGTTAATAGTTTTTTTAATAAGTCTTTATATAATTCCATTAGGCCATATAGGCTACGTTTCTATTTCCATTATATAACTTATATATATATATATATATATATATATATATATATATATATATATATATATATATACAACATAGGCTACATATTATTAAAATAGAAATCATAATGTAAATATGCTATATTCCAGTTAAAAAACTTTCCCAATTTTTCCCCAATTATTGTATAATCATTATAGCCTACATTATAGCTTTTATATCCTCATTTTCTATTTCCATTTATTTTAACCTAATATATATATATATATATATATATATATATATTCACATAATGCATAACCCCTTAATTCAAATTATATATCTGGATCTATGTTCAAATTTAATTTCAAATTCAATTAAAGTCTTCTGTATTTTTGCAACAAATATCTGCAACATTAAAAATATCATTCTGTCAGTCACAGACTTCTAACTAAATCACAGGTTAATTAAAAAAAAATCATACTAACATGAAAACCATCATATATTGACCCCTATTGACTTGCAAGAGCATCAGAAGAGCTCCTAATCAATAGAACGGAGCAAGTTCACGCTGATGTGTGCTTCTGGCTGATATGCCGCAGCTGGATCCTTATCAGCCCGTGCACATCATGCTTAATTGTCATCGGTTCTGCATACATGAATGAGAGGAAGCTCTTTGGCTGATTTCATGTTGTTATTGCTACCAGCTTCGGCCCGACGGCATGGATGAACTTCCTCGGAGAGGGGTGGCAGCGGGGTGGACCACGGGCCGTCGTGTTTGTACGCGTATGTGTGTTTTTCTATGTGCTTGGGGATGGGGGTGGCTCTTTTTGTCGCTGTAACTCAAGTTCACAGAGGTTTCCCACGCTGTTATTTTCTCCTGACGTTTGTCTTTGTTCTTGTGTCTCATCACATGTTGTGATTAGTGCTCCCTTTTGAAGGTGTGGGCCCACAACACAACAGTATTTCCCCCCACAAAGCATGCCAGAGCCTCTTCTCATTCCAAGCTTGAGGTTTTTGCTCCTCCGAGTGGGTCTCCATGTCGCCATGTTTTCATTTCAGACTCTTTATGTCCATGCCAAGAAGCCTAGTCTACCCACAAGGAGGGCAGACGATGGTTTAAAATGGACACGCTGCTTTTTAGGAGTTATGTCTCAGCCTATTTGGAGGATCACAGCTCATTTATCAGCATCAATGTTTCTATTGCACCACAAAACAAGCTTGTATTCCTTGCTTTATGTTCTACAGTCATTTGAGAAGAGAGGGCAACAGGTCTGTGATCGCATCGCTGCAGACTGTCTGGCCACCGCTGCCTCATGCTGTGCCGTGGCGTCGTGCGTCTTGCGCAGACAGATGTTCAGGTCCCTGAAACAATGTGTTAAACAATCCTGTCCTCCTCAGGAGGAGCAGCAGGGGGACATGTTATTGTTTATAAATAGCAATGCATTCAGTCCGCACAGAAGAGGAAGAGCGGCTTTGTTTCTCTCACTGAGAGAGGAAGTGGAGCTTAATTCTCTAAGATACATGTGACACCTTGCATTGTGCCATTTGCGCATGTTTGTGGGAGTGTGCCTGTGTGTGTGTACACACACAGAGACGGATTATACTCTCTTCCGAGTGGCAAAGATGCTTTTGAAGTCATCCAACTTTGACCCCTGAGCATTGCAAGACCTTTCCTCTTCCATATCCAGTGAAATTACGATAAATGCACCGTATGTGTTTTTTTTTTACAGAATGATGATCTGTCGGATGTCTCCTCCCATATTTGTGTCCTTTTCTCCAATAGCCTTGTGTTATCTCAGCTCTTTGTATCCAAACTTAGTATACAAGATTAAGCGGTTTCACCCTTATTGTCTCCCTAAGTATTGGAACAAGGCTGCTTTGATGACTTAGCTATTTTGTTAGGTTGAGATTTAGAGTTAGTAATGGCTGTTAAATCCTGATGGGGTGTGTTATTTTTAAACCAAGTCATTTTTAGGTGTGTGATGAAAGATTTTTGATGGATTCTTTGGTCGTTGATATGAGGTTGATATTGGCTCAAGCTGTGATCGCACATGTAACGCAGTTGCTCGTAATTATGTGTTTTAAGTCGTGGAGTGACTCGAGGTGGGTGGTCATCCACATGAACACATCAGCCACGGGACTGAGGTCCGGGTGGAAAAGGGTCTCTGAACTCTCAAGCTTTCATCTCCTGTCTACATATTTAGAAGTGTGTGTGTGTGTGTGTGTGTGTGTGTGTGTGTGTGTGTGTGTGTGTGTGTGTGTGTGTGTGTGTGTGTGAGTGAGAGAGAGTAAGAAATAGCAAAGCTTTGACAGACAGATTGTAAAATGCACCAAAGAAATATATTTTAAAAAAGTAATAATACCATTATTTAAAAATACCTTTATTCAGCATGGATGTATTAAATTGATCAAAAGTGACAGTGAAGACATTTATAATGGTGCAAAAGATTTGTATTTCAAATAAATGCTGCTCTTTTGAACTTTTAAATCATAGAAAGAATCCTGAAAAAAGTATCACAGTTTCCACACAAATATTAAATAGCACAACTGTTTTCAAAATAATTAGAAATGTTTCTCATCAGCATATTAGAATGATTTCTGTAAGATCATGTGACACTAAAGACTGGAGTAATGGCTGATAAAAAATCAGGGTTGCCATCACAGGAACAAATAAATGACATTTTATAATAGGCCTATATAAAAATAGAAAACTGTTTTTTTGAATTTGTAATAACATTTCACATTATTAGTGTTTTTACTTTATTTATGATTAAATAAATGCAGCCTTAGTGAGCATAAGAGACTTCTTTCAAAAACATAAAAAACAACAACCCCAAACTTTTAAATTGTACAGTATATAGTGTATATATTATGTGGACAAAACTAAAAATGTACTACAAAAAATAATTGGTATAAAATAATTGTATTTCTTTCAATTATTAAAAAAAACAAGATTTTTTTAAAGTTTCTCCTAGACATGATATTAAATAGAAGGCAAAAAAAGGCTTTTGGAGTCTACTGCATCTTTCTACTGAGAAAAATAGTTGCGGGTCTCCTCTGAAGTGATCTCAACAATATATCCAACTGTGCTAAGGATACAAAAGTCAATATGATTTAAATATGAATTATTCTTATCATATGTGGTTCATATTAAATGTATAACTCCTTCTGCATGTGGATTTTTTTTTAACTTCAGTATTACTGGTCTGTGTGGGTACATGAGACAAAAAAAGCTTGGGAAACACTAGATTTCAGGTCTCAACAGACACATTCAGACACATGTATCTGTGCTGGCAGACACCCCCCCCCCACACACACACACACATACACAGCCTTGTGAGTACTTCTCACTTCTGTAGTTTCTAATTTGATAAAGTTACCAGTGATCAAAACATGCGAGTAGTTGACCTTTGGCCTGACAAAATGGCAGCATATTTGCCTTTGTGCGGGCAGCCTGGGAGAGCGCCGCCCCGTGACCTGCGTAATGCAGGGGGTCATAGGGCAGGCTGTTTGACAGCAGTGTGAGTTGGGATCTCTAGGGCCTGCCTGAGCCGTGAAATCAATCTCTCAGGGCCAGCAGCAGGGCAGCAGACGCAACCGGAAAAAGCCCCATGCTGCGGACCGGCCCGCCACCCGTCTCTGTCTGTCTGGAACTACAGAGGGAGTGAAACCTGACAGGGGAAAGTATGATGAGGAGGAGTAATCGCACACAGGACAGACACAAGTGAAGCTAAGAGAAGAATTTCTTGTTTAAAGAAGCCCAGTACTATTCAAATCTTTGCAGTATTTTCAATTAAGCATTTGAGTACATTCCTATTAACCACATTCCTCCTATCAAACATATTTAAATGACCTAAAAACAGCCTAAGTTTCAATATTGTGTACTGTAAAAAATAAAAACAATGATAAAAGTGAAAAAAAAAGAAAGAAAAAAAAAATAATAATATTGAAATCCCAGCATAGGATAAAGCAAGTAAGTAAGAAAAAGTATTTATTATTCGGCTTTCTGGAATACTTGATTCTGGTTGCATTGGCCAGTGTGTGTGTGTCTGTGTCTGTTTGTGTACAAAAATACGTAATCGCAGAATACTGCAATTGGCCAATCAGATTCAAGTATTCCACTGAACTGAATATTTGTGCACTGTCTCTGGCAACTAATGTCTTGGACCGCTCGTTTCTTTTTGTATCACTCTCTTTAGAAGAAGAAGAAGTAGGAGGAGAAGAAA